AGCAGAGGACCGTTTACTAACGCACTCAACCATCTTTTCTTTTTTTAGATGTGTGCTCCTTTTCACCCTCCCTGCTGCAGCCTTTCTTTCTGAGGCTGCAGTCTGTCACCTCCACCTAAGTCAGGTGGCTGGGTGAGGACAGAGTGCACCTGAGGGAAACCCAACCTGAGTTCCCAGTTCTGTCTCACGCTGCTGGACTGCTGGCAGAAGGCAGGGCGAGCAGGGCTTAGGCAGGACTCTAAACAGACTCGGGCAGTCTCCGGTTCTCTCTGGCTTTCCTATTTGCTCTCCTGACGGTCAGCATCACGCTCGTAGATGCACTCTTCCCAGCACCGTGAGGGAGGGTGAGAGTTGCCAGCAGTAACTTATAAATCCAGTGGAAAGAGGGCTTTATAACCTGGTTCTAGAAAATTAAAAAAAAGAAAAAAGAAAAATCCTAGGGAAGGACTCTGATTGGCTTGTGCAAATGATAGGCCCATTCCTAGGGGAACTGCTCTGGTCTCAGAAGCAGAGTGCTAAGGCTGACCCTGTTGGGTAGATGCCAGCCTCGCCCATTCTCAGAGGCATGGTTATAGGATCATGTACATACAGGAAGATGGAAGCTCCCTTTCTAACCTCAGAGGATGGAGGGGGTGCTCCTAGTCCCAGGAGAAGCAGGAGTGTTCAGAAAGATACCGTCAATGATTGGATATAGTGTGGCCCCATAGAGGCTTTTGAACAATCCAGTGAGGCCAGTAAGGCTATGAACTGAGGCACAGGAAGTGGAGATGGAGAGGTGATTTGACATTCAAAACATAAACATATCAGGAGAAACAAATTAGCTGTGTCAACACCAGTCCAGGAAAATAAACCTCTGCTTTGTGTGCCCCTTTTTTTTTCTTTTTTTTCTTTTTAAAAATATATCTTTATTGATTTCAGAGAGAAGAAAGGAGAGGGAGAGAGAGACAGAGAAACATCCATGATGAGAGTCATTGATTGGCTGCCTCCTGCACGCCCCCTACTGGGAATCGAGCCCGCAATCTGGGCCTGTGCCCTGAATGGGAATCAAACCCCGATCACCTGGATCCTAGGTTGACGCTCAACCACTGAGCCACGCCCGGCCGGGTTGTGTGCCCCTTTTGAACCTGTTGGCTGCACTGCATGCAATTTTGTATTTTAACGTTTTGCTCCTTCATTTACATAGTTATTTGTCATTTGCTCAGTCACCTGGACACTTCCTATCTAGACCAAAGTAAAGGACATATGGTTATTGACAACTGGCCTTTTCAGGCTGTTAAACACAGAACAGGCCTTTCTCCTGCCTCCACACATAACGGTATACAAAAAAGCAATATCCCTGACTCATGTCTGACTACTCTTGGCAGAATGGCAATGTTACTCGGACTATAACTTTTTTATTGGTTTATCTGTGAATAGATTATTCTGTCAATGGTACATTCTGCAGGGCTAGTTTAATGCAGTTACAGATTTATAATAGATGTCAATTGTGATTTCTTTTCGCATTGGTTAATGCAGAGGGCTTCATACTGCTTTCATATTTAGATCAGGATTCTTACATAACCATATAAAGCATTGTCTTTATCATAATAAATAAGACCCATTTAAGTATCTATGAGGTCAATTCTATTTTCAAAATAATACTTAAAGTTTATATTTGCCTTTTTAAAAATTAAATTTATTGGGGGGCATTGGTTAATGAAATTATATAGGTTTCAAGTGTACAAGTCTATGATATATCATCTGTATATTTCATTGTGTGTTTACCGCCAAAGTCAGATCTCCTTCTGCCGCCGTGTATTTGACCCCCTTCACCCTTAACCGCCCCACCCGCACCCCCCTTCCCCCTGGTAATCACTGTACTGTTGTCTATGTCTCTGAGTTTTTGTTTGTTTGTATTGTTTGTTCATTTGTTGTTTTTAGTTTTATGTCCCACATGTGAGTGCAATCATGTGAGAATATCATGCTATGCAAAATAGAAAAGTCAAGAACCATATGGTTTATTTGCCTTTTTAAATGTGTTAACATTTGCACAGATGGTGCCAGAACAGTGATGGGTGAAACTGCTGGTGCCTGAGCACAAATCCCGGCAGTGGCACCACGCTGGTAGGTAGTGTATTTTAACCATCACGTGCTGCCGGGGAAAAGCCACTCTTACGTAAGAACGGCCTTGAGGAAGCTGTACAGTCATTAATTGTCCACCCTCAAGGACAGGTCTTACTACTGTTCTGTGTGACTCTAAGGGCGCGCACCTAAGGCATGTTTGCTCCGTCCTCAAGACCACATTGTCTTTACAAAAAGCGCTGTACAGCTGCTTGAGTTGTGAGCTCAACAGGGTTCCCTTTTACCCAAAGGAATGACTGACAGCCAAACGATACTTATTTAGACCTGAGTATTGGCAAGCACTCCTGCCAAAATTAAGTAATCCTGTCATTTCAAAGAAATGACAGCTGACAATAGTTGTTGCCCAAGATAAAGATTCAAGTGAAAATACAGTTCCAAATGAAAAGTAGGTTTAGAATCCTGGAAAACTGCATTCACCACCTTGAGCCTGACAGCTTCCCAGTCCTTAGACTATGCTGATGAAATTGGTGGTGATGTTAGCAAACGTGGTTTTCTCCGTGTGGCGTAATGAAGTGAGTCAGCACTTGGAAGACTGCGTAACTCAGTAAGCTAGCGTTTCCTGGATGGTCGATGCGTGATGTTACAAAATCGTGCCCAGGTAAACGACATTCAAGGCACAAGATAGGCCAGGGGATTTTATCCACTAGGGTGAAACAAAAGGTCACTGGGAGAGGCTTGAGATTAGGTTATCTCAGTTCCCAGGGTCCCTAACTGCCCTTAATTCTTAACTATCCCCCTAGTCTAAGGAGCCCCATCCACGTGATACTGTGATGCTACTGCCATATATTTCTTCTTTATTCTCTTGCATGTCCCCTTTTATGTCATTTTCATTCTTCAGTTCCCAACCTTTAGGTATTTTCTCAAAACTCACAGCTCTCTTTGGCTTTTGCCCCTCTTTTGTCAGACGGCAGCCGCCTGTGCTCATCCCAGCCCTACCCTCTGCAGCCCTCGCGTTGTCTCTGCGGCACCCAGCCGCAGCCTTGCAGAGGGCCTTCGCGCGTTCATTCCGCAGGGGCCGTTTCAGCCAGGGGACAAGCTCTGCCCTCAATACCGAGCAGTGTCCTGCTCTAAAATTCTGTTTCTTTGTTCAAAAGAATTCAGTGTCTTTTTCCTTAATGGGTGTTCATCACTCGCGTTTTTCCCTAAAGGTGCTGCGCTCTGCCCTCGCTCTGCTCCTTCATCGTGGTCTGTGTGGTTTCGGCCTTGTGCTTTGCCTGGTGCTTTGGGGCGTCTTCTGTTCCGCCCTTCTTTCCTTCTCTCCTGCTGCCGCCCGAGCCTGATCGGTTGTTGATGACTTCAGAAGCCCTTGCTGCTCTTTCTGTCCTTTATTCCTTCCTCCAACCAGCCTCCTGGGAGCCTTGCATTGGTAACCTCCCTAGGGCACCACTTTTGTCCTGTGTTGTGCTGCTCCGCCTTTCCAGTGAGTCTCCGTTGCCTTGGGCAGGGTTTCCTTTTGAAGGAAAGATGGATTCCCTGTGTTGGCATGAATTATTTTAATTATAATGCAACTTAAATATGTCCAGATATAAAGCTAAATATAAACTTTTTCACATACAACTGTTTAAAACAATTTTACAAATTCAGAACAAGCAAAGCTATAAAATGGATAAAATTTCTAATGTGATGTCTGCCAAAACTAAATCATAAATGTCAATGTGACTATGGTTCAGAGTTTGATGCGAGCGTGCTATGCGCTCAAACTTCTGAAGAACCTTTGTTTCTACAGCGTGCTTGGCCTTCATGTGATATCAGTGTGTCATTAGAGAAATAGATCTGTCGTCTTTTTTTTCATCCCTCAGCCTGCTGTGATGAAAATAGCACTGCTTGGCTGCAGTAACAGTAATGCTAAATAAAATGCACGTTCAGACACTGATACTTACTGGTGATTTGGGGTTACTAGGATGTGTGAGAGTGTGAGTGTGTGTGAGTGTACAAGTGTGTGTGAATGTGTGAGCGTGTGTATGAGTATGTGGATGTGTGTGTGAGAGTGTGTATGAGTGTGTGAATGTGTGTGTAAGTGTGAGTGTATATGTGTGTGAATGTGTGTGTATGAGTGTGAATGTGTGTGTATGAGTGTGAATGTATGTGGCAGTGTGAGTGTGTGTATGAGTGTGTGAATGTGTGTGTGTGAGTGTGTGAATGTGTATGTGAGTCTGTGGGAGTGTGGAAGTGTGTATGCACAAGTGTGTGAGTGAATGTGAGAGAGAGAGAGAGAGAGAGAATTTTAGCTGACTTGAATAAAGAAACAGGATGGTTTTATAGGAATTGAAAGGCATCTCAAAGTCAGCCCCCACCTTGCAGAACTCACAGACCCCGTCACACAATTCCCTGACCTATGGGGTAAAGACCAAGTCCTCCTGCCAACATCCAGGGCCTTGGTCAGTGTGGGTTACAGTTCTCTTTCTTTTCCACTGTTTTTCCTTTTTGATGTCTTACCGTCATGAGCACAGCTCACTTTCCCACAGTCGTGTCAAACGTCTGCCTCTTCAATTACAATCTGATGTTTCTCCTCTGAACTCCTCCTCTGAACTTTTTGTGTATCTAGTACTTTGGAATTTCATTTTCTTATAATATTAGTTTTAGTGATTTGATTTTCATGTTCTCTACATCACTGGACTTCAGGGGCCCTAAAGGCAAAATAGTATCTTAAAAGCAGTTTTGTCTTCAGGATCATCACTGATATCCTGCAAAGCACTTACTAAGTGAATCCAGTGACGAGGTAATGCTGGGACTTAGTTTCCCTGCAGAAATGTGTCAGTTCTTCATAGAGAATGTAAGCAATGGAAAGTAGTTTGATGTAGAAAACTTGTAATTTCTAAGCAACTGACATGCCTTAGACGTTTTGCATTTTTGCCCATCTTTTGCCCATTTTTTTTCAGGACTGCTGGGAAAGATTCTGATGGCCATCCGAGATGCAGGCTTTGAGCTCTCAGCTATGCAGATGGTACGTACATTGCAATGAGTCATAACCTATAAATAAGCTTTAAAATGTTTTACATTGAATTTTCTTTGCACACTTGATGCATTAAAATACAAAAGATATAGTTACTGAACTTGGTAATCTTATAATAAAAAATGTTTTTGAAATTATTTTACCCATCAAATCTTTCACTGAGAGAACTAATAGTCAAGTTGTACACCTAATTTAAGCTTATGTGGTAGATAGGTTTATACAGTTCTTGGAGCTTTGCTTGCAGATATGGGCTGTGAAACCATGTATTTACTTTAACAAACAAAAGATAGAATTGAGCTAAGTTGTTATAATGACTCTTCCATTGTCTGGATTTGTGACTCGAGAGAGTGAGGGAAGAGAGCATTTCGGGCTTCTCCCTGACCAGGGCCTGTTGCTGTTTCCCGGGTCCCCTCCGGCACCTTCCTGGAAGTTGGCACCTTTCATCCCCTCTGTGGCTGGTGAGCTGCCCGGCGCATTTCTCAGGAACCGTTCTTTGAAGAAGCAGCACCCACTTTGGTGGAGCTCCTGCCTCTGTGCTCTGCTCACCAGTGCATTTGACAAGGAATTGGGTACAAATTATTACAGGAACAGATACATAATACGGGTTCCACAGTGTTGAAGGCCAGCAAGCTTATGCTGTTATGAGGGTGAAATGCTGATTTTGGAGCCAAGACTTTTCTTAGCTCCAAGTATAATTTGAATCCTCTCTGAAAACGAGCTGCTTTGGATTTCTCTGAAGTCTTGTGATCGCCTGAAATCGGAGGTCAGGCACTAAGGGGGTTCTTCCTGTTTTGTGTCCCTGATTGGTGGTACTGCCCACAGGCCAAGAGAAGGTCAGAAATATCTGTTGGTTTGCAAAGTCTTCAGGCAGAACTCAGAGATGGGTGAGGAAGTTGATATTTAAGAATCTCAGCTAGGACTGTAAAGGAATTGTGAGCCAGAACCTTCTCAGAGTAGCAGCATGGCCACGTATCCACAGGTTTGTGAGACCTAAGCCTGCTCAAAAAAATAATCATTGTGGGAATTTAGCTTTAAACATTCATCTAAGTCTAGCTAGATCAACCTATGCCCTAGCTCAGTAATGGGCCGGAGTAGGTGCTCAGTGAAAACAAGAATCATTTTAAAAGGATCCGTTGAACCTATGGGGGGAAGGGGGCACATGACTTAGTGACAGTCACAGCCCTGGATTGTTGGAGTCTTGAAGATCTATTTTGGGGCTTTCTAAGTTTGTGACCTTCGTCAAATTTCAAGTACTCTTATCTTCAGCTTTATTAGCTAAGCAAGGAGAACATTGTCTGCCTAACTGGGTTAAATGGAATGATGGAAGAATTTCCACTGCAGGAATTGTGGGATTTCCAGTGAAAATTACTTGGTATTTAATAAATTATATCTCCTGTTACTACTTTATTATATTAATAGTACAGATTGTGTGAACATAGAGTAAAAACCTGAAATCAAACAGAATTCCCTCCCTGTATAGTTATGTGGCTTATAAAATAAATCCCCCTAGTTTGAATTACTGTCTGTGTAGGCAGAAATTTCTCCATAATCATCAGTCCTGGCAACACTAAGCAAAGAGGTGTGGTAGGTGGGAAATAAAATTGGAAGGTCTTAGTTTTTGAGACACTAGAACTTAATGAACTTTTATTTCTAACTGAATACAGCTTGGACAAGAATGGGTCTTTGTAGGCTTATCTTGTTAGCATATCTGACAGCTCCTTTTGGGGAGTAGTAGGAATTCCAGATGCCGGTGTAAGTGCTTTTACCATGAGCCAGGTTGACAAGGGACTTTTCCCAATGCTTGGGAGAAAAAGCATATATGCTCAGTCCTCTCAACAAAATCTGAAGTACTTTTCTTTAATAGCATTTCTTTCTTGTGCCATTAATTTGTCCATAAACAACACTGCCATGTATATGCCTTTTTATTGTGTTGAGAATGAGGTTTTATTCCAAGAGGAATAATGTAGCGGTGAAGGGCATGGTCAGTGAGACCAGGCTGAGGTGGAGCACAAATCTGTCAGAGCCATATGACCCCTCTGGCTCAGCTTCACCTACCCCTCAGGGCTATTAATGCTATTTATGTCACAGGGTTTTCGTAACCACCGAGTGAGATGCTGCGTGTACAGGACCCGGAGCAGTGCTTGATCTATTAAGCACTCAGTAATCGTTACACAGTTTTATTATTGATGAGCTAATCTTTGATAACACTTTCTTCTTCTAAGAGTATTTGATTTATGCAAGCTTTACACTTTAAAGTAAAGAAAATACATCCAAGAGATCATAAATGTTGAGTACGTCAGTGTGGCTCATTTTCTTTGCTTTGTTGGCTTATATTTGCTTGTTTTTTTAAAAATACAGTTCAACATGGATCGAGTTAACGTTGAAGAGTTTTATGAAGTTTACAAAGGAGTAGTGTCTGAGTATAATGTAAGTATCAAACTAAACGTAAAGCATTGGTACTGAAAGCAGTTTGTGTCTCTCACATCTTGGGGATCTCAGGATTATCTTTAATCATGAAAGTATTCCTTAAAGTATACAGGGTTCTACCAGCTGTCAGTGATGATACCCAGTGACTGAGGCATTCTTACCCCTGAGAGCCACGGGATCAGTTTTAAAAATATGATATTGTTTCATTTATGAAACAGAAACCTGTTGGAAGGCAAGGAAAAAAGCACCTTGCTGGGATATTAACACATTTTGATATTAACTGTGAAGTTTATAATATTCTCAGGGTGGGAGACTGTCTAAAATGCTTTAGAAAGTTAAAAGTAAATAGTTCTTAACATGATCATATAACTTCATAGCAGTACTTACCATCGACTTTAATGACACAGATGTGGAGTCATCTGAAAATGTAACTGAGACTGAAGAAATAAGACTAAAAGGGTCCTTGAAAACAAATGACTATATTCAAGTAAGACTGTGTTCAAATTATTCCTTAAGATAACGTAGAGTGGACAATTAATCGAAGGCAGTTTCCTTCCCCTTCATCAGATTATCTCCTGTACCTTTGTGCTGCAGCCCTGGTCTCCCTCAGCCCTGCGTGGCCAAGACTGACCTGAACATCCTGTTGCATTCGGCATACTGGTCGTGGGACCCCCTTCTTTAGAGAGCCAGAGGTTCTTTCCTTTCCTTATAGCTTCTCAAACATTAATCTCATCAGTTCTTCGTCTTAGAGTTACGCCTTCTGTAAGTGGAAGAGATTCTAAAATCTGTTATCTTACTGTCACTTATTCAACCAGGGACGCCTGTTTTTCACTTCTTAAATCTTTTCTTTTATACATTTTCCTTCTTTTATTCGTTCGATTTGACTTTCAAAGAATACTCCTAAAAGCAACAACCTTCAGTAATTCATATTGTATTATAGTCTCATTGTACGTAAGATAAAGAGGCTCATGGAGACGTGCCCGCCAGCAGCCTCGCACCTCGGGTGCGTCCTCACACAGCACCATGTAGTGCTGAGCTTGGTGACCATAGCTGACCGCACTAGTGTTTCATATACAAATCTGAGGTGGACCCTATTTACCTTGGAAAACAACTTTAAAAAAACACACCTCGTCTCTGACTTCTAATGTCTTCTATATTGTGCTTTTAAATACCACACTTTGAAGTTTCCTTTTGTGTAATATGCATTTACTCTTAGCATTTTTGACCTTGGGATTCTGGAGGTAAAGTTAATATTCAGGACTCAAGTTTAAGTTCAAGAAAGAGGTAAATTATTAAATGCTGCATACTTTTAGATGTTTCTTTCTTTTAGAAGGTTTTTATTTAATTTTATGAAGTAGGCCCTCTTAAAAATAATCTTAAGAGGCAGCCTAGCTTAAAGGGACAAAAACAGTTGATCCGATTTTTACTCTGACTTTTGATACAACTCTACCTTTCTTGTCTTCAGATTCTTATTGTGAAATAAGTGATAAGATACTTAAAGTCATACTAACGTTTCTGTCTATATTATTTTTATAAATTTAAAGCTATTTTGATGTGAGGGTGTGAGATGGTTAATGAGGGTGTGAGATGGTGCTTTTTACTGTGGGCTCTGAAGTGTGGGGTTGGAATAGCATCAGCAGCACTATTGTGTGGATATTGTTTTATAACTCAAGTCTAGTTCTAGGTTTTCTCCCAGTACTGGCTTCAAACTGTAGACTTTTCCTCTTTCTCAGAATTCACTGCAGCTGACTTGCAGCTTCCTGAACTCAATTCCCTGTTGCTGTTTTTTCTTGTGGAGTCCGATGCAAGGTCTAGATCCTAACCCACGAGTGTGTGACCACAGACAGGTTATATTCCATCTCTAAGCCTTTGTCTGTCTGTAAAGTGGACATAATGCTGTTACTTGCTCCATGAGATTGTTGTAATAATTAAGTGAAATAAAGTGGTCTGACATATGGAGAGACTGAGTAAATTCAGCCATTTTGTTATGACTACCACCGCTATTATTATTCTAACGTAATTCTTATTGTAGACTCTGTTGATCATTTACAGTTGCATTTGCTGTGTCAGCATTTGCAGTCATAAAAAGGTGTTAATTCCTGCCTCATGGGGTTTATCATGATCCACTGTTTAGTGCACATACAGTCAGTATCTACCCTGTGTCAAACAGCGTGTAAGATACCAGGACACAGAGATGAATAACCACAGGAAAAGCCCACCCACTACCTGCTGTCACGGGGCCTGTGTTTGATGAGGAGAGGCTCGCTCAGGTGATCCCAGGGCAGCCCCTAAGCGCAGTAGTTGCAGGTTGTGAAGGAGACAAACAGGCCCTTTTTTGTCTGGCAGTCTTTAATTAATTACAAACCTGGGCAGAGTGAGGATTCTGTTGAGTCCATTTTTTAAGGGACATGCTGTGCCTTTGATGAGTCCTTTTTCAACATGCTTTTTCCTTTGCATCTTGTGCAGCCCTGTATGTCTGTGTTTCGGGCAGTACTTGTCCTTACCCTGGTGTCGAAGGAGGGAGATGAGTGGGGGAAGGCAGACTCGACTGCCCTCTTCGATCACGTGCCCGTGCCCCCTCCCTGCACTGGGAGCTTGGCTCTTGACAGTGCAGGCAGTACTTCAGCAGCATGAGACAGAAAATCAGACTCCACGTAATGTTCATAAAGATCAATTACACGTGGCCTTTGTGGGCAGCAGGGTGACTTCGGGGGATACAGTCAGGGACCCTCAGGAGCAGGGTTCTGGGAACCATATTAATTGTGACGTCCTTTCCCTCCTCTTTCACCTCTGGCATTTCTATTCGGTATGATGACTAAGGGTGAATTAATATTTAAATATCCTCCTGCAATAAATAACCTATTTTACTTTGGCACTGCGCGGTCATGACAGTGCCCTCCAGGCCCTGCACGGCCTGGCCTCCCCTGCTGCTGCCCTGGCCTCGCTCAGCTCCTGATGCCCTGGCTCCTTTGCTGAGCCTCACCCACCCACCTGTGCTTCGGCCTCCAGTCCTTGCCTCTGCCTGATATCTGCCCTGGGTGTCGTATGGGGGCTGCCACTCTGCCTGGCAGCGCATGAGCCCTTCTCAGCTTTGCGCTGTCTCTGAATCCTCCCACGTACGCCTCTGGGAGTTCTTTTTCTCAGCCTTGGGTTGTATCCTCTAGACATACGCAGACTCTTAGCCAACGATTCAAGCGAACTTCTCGGCAGACCCCTGCGGGTGACTCTCCCATCGTCCCCTCGCCCCCTCTAGTATTCCCTCCCTCCAAGTCTAGCTACACTGGCCTCTGTTAATCCGTCTTTGTCTCCTAGACTCAGTGAGAATGTTGGGCTCATGGGTCTCCTCCTCCTGGCCCACTGTCTGGAAGGGGCCTCCAGGCAGTGAGCTGGGGCAGTTGCTGGCTCACCTCACTCGCCTCCCTTCTCCTGGGACCACCGTGCTGTGCCGCCTTCACCCAGTGTCTGCTGACTGTGGTTTCATATAGATGCTCTGCTTTCCAGATGTTTAATGGGGGAGAATAAACCTGGTCCCTGCTGCTTCTCACGTCTGAAAGTCACTATGATTTTTAAAAGTGTCTTTGAAAGGAACACTTTGCAATTTATAGCTTTAGAAATATTCTTTCGACGGCATTGTGCTCAAGAGGAGAGAGCCCTTTGAAAGGAAGTTGTACTAGAAGATCATTTCAGATAATACAAGTGTCCAGTATTACATTCAAATGGTGGCAGTGGTAGGAATGGAGATGAGAAAACACAGACATTTTTGTTGGAAAAATGGACAAAATTTGGGAGCTGCTTGGCACATGCGCACAGGTGGGGGAGGACGTCATGGTGGGCTTAACACTTTGAGGTTAGTGGAATAGTGGCACCATTAAAAGAGGAGGAGTAAAAGATTATTAAATTATATTAATTTTTAATATTTTATATTATATATTACAGGAGATGGTGACAGAAATGTATTCTGGCCCTTGCGTAGCATTAGAGATTCAACAAACTAACCCTGCGAAGACATTTCGAGAATTCTGTGGACCTGCCGACCCTGTGAGTTAGTGTTTAAATATTAGTGAGGTTTGTTTCATTTATTAACTTAATATATTAACAGGTTTGATAGTTTTAGTTTGCTCTTTAAAAGAAACAATACAAATGAGAACACAGTAGACAAAACTTTTTATTCAGAGTAGCATTTACATCATTTATTTTTTATATAATACTCTAAGACAAAAGTGAATTTTTATTAGCCTAGTGATGATACAGAATGGGCAGAAACATTTACTATGGCATTTTCTTTTAATGTTTCTTCTTGCTAAATTGTTTAGATAAGTAAATATATCAGGTTCTATGACAGAAATTGGGTGGGGTATCAATCACCCTTTGACAAGGAGGCCATGAGTAAGCCCTCAATGTAAAGGATGTTGGTTGGCATGGCAGCCGCAGACCAGACCCGCCAATAAAAATGAGCAATGGGACTTAGTGACGTTTCATGCTCTCTGTGCACCTTTTGGTTTGCTTTGTGCTTTCATCATATGGGCATTGGTGGTGAGTGGCCAGAGAGGGGGTTGAGGAGCAGGCGTCGCCTTACAGCACATGAGAGTCTCCACTGTGTGTTACAGACTGGCAGGATCGTGGGACGTGTTGCTGATTCTAAATACTAGCTACAACTTACGTTTTCTCTTTCCTTCATTTCACTACCACTTGTAAATAGCTCATTGAAAAGGAGGAGCCAGCTCACTGCAGTTTGACTTAGATGGCATTTCGGATGCCCTTGGATGTAAGATAATCCATTAGCAGCGCCTGTTTCAAAGTCAGCCTGTGGGTGCTGCTAGATGAAGCCCGTGGGGAGCACAGTACACCTACACCTGTTCTTAGTGGTGGAAGAGCACCCACAGAGAAACCTACAGATAAGGACTTGCACTGTGTGGGTAAAATACAGACGTCCAAGGGTGGTTTCGTGAAGGAGCAATTACTGTGACGTGGAGTAGCTGAGAGGACTTTGTTAGAGGAAGAGAGAGAGACAGGTGTAAACGGGGCTCACAGAGGCAGCGAGGCACAAAGAGAATGGGGAACTCCCTCAAGCCCACGCCAAGGCCACAGTGACGGGGCCTGCGAATGGACTGGGACCCAGCAGGAGGACCTGCTCAGCTTTAATGGGAACCGCGTGCCTGGCAGCGCGAGGAAATGCAGCTTTTTAGAGGAAATAGGTGAGAATGTTGGCAGTGTGCGATGGGTAACCTTAAAAGCCGCGCTGAAAATGGTGGATTTTGTGCAATTAGAATCCCGTATAGTAGGAAGTAGGAATTCCTGGTATCTGGCTTAATTTTGAGTACACCAAGTTATTCCTTTGGGAGCAAATGGAATTGGCAGAGCCCGGAGGCAGGGGCTGTAGAAGCAGAGAGGAGCAGACCTATGACACCAGAAGAGCCACAGGCCCTGCTTTCTGTGTTCCCGGGAGAAGGAGGAGAAACGAGTGCTGTGTGTGGTTGGCCAGAGTGATGTGAATACATGATCCTGCCGCAGGAGGTGTTGGGAGAGAGTGGAGGGATGATGAGTGTTTACTGAATTTACTCACGAGAAATAAGGCCGGAGAGAGAAGGTGGGCAGGTCTGGAGACCCTTGTAATGATGAGATTTTACTCTGTGTGAGACCCGTAGTTTTTGAAGAGTTTGAGCCGAGTAGTGACATGATTAGACTTGTAGCAGGCTCACCCTGACTCTGGTGGAAGAATAGTGTAAAGGGAGACAGGGTACAAGTTGCAGTCCAGGCTCAAATGATGGTGACGTAGCCCAGGGTGGTGGCCGGGGGCGTGCTGGGGAGCAGCCAGGGCTTGTTTACCAGGTGGCTCAGCTCTTCTCTTTCTCTAGTGGGTGAGTGGGTGAAGGTTACAGCTGAGGAAACCTGGAGACGGAGTGTGAAGGGACCCTCAGTTCTGCGACATGGAAACAGGACAGAGCAGAATTCTCTCCACTGTCAGTTTCATCTCCGTCTGTTGAAGGGACAAGCAGAGGGCGAATCCGTATTCCTTCAGTGCCCGGCCATAGTTAGAGAAGGCTTTGATGCCCGATGAAAACCAGCCAAACAACAGTGTCTAGTGCTAGCTTAGAGGAAATTATTGGAATAACCAACTCGGTTATTTTATAAGCATGCCACTGATTTTAGCAAATATAAAAATAAAAAAATACATTTCCAGAAAAGTAGTTACTGGCTTAAATGCATTAAAAAAAAAAAAAATACGGAATGCTTCACTAATTTGCATACCATCCTTGCTCAGGGGCCGTGCTAATCTTCTCTGTATTGTTCCAATTTTAGTATATGTTCTGCCAAAGCAAGCACTTAAATACATTTTTAAGGTAAGAAAATTGAAAGTGTTCCAAGTACAATAGGAACATAGAGCAGTATGCACAAACACGACATAGTAGTAATTTACTGACTTTGAAGTGACTTCCATGCAATAATTTACACTAGCTATTAAGTGATTCAGCAATGAAAAATAATTCTGTTGTAAATCATGTTTTTAATGAGAAATAACTTCTCTAACAGAAAAACAAAACAAAAACCACTTACCTCAATGTTGTTTACCTGCCAGAGTGACCAATGCTCTTCCAGTCTGTCCAGGGTTCTCCCAGGTTGAGCACTGAGAGTCCCTCAGCCCCAGGAGAACTGCGATGGTAGTCACTCCCAAAGTTTACCTCATTAGTGCGTGAGGTAAATATATTTTGGAAGGAGAGCTTGCAGAACTCAGTGATTTGGGTGTGGGCACAAGCAGCCAGTAGGTTACATAAACAAATTTGTAATAGAAGGAACTGTTAGATTTTGGGAGAAATACAGAAACAGTGATTAAAACATCAAAGCCTCTTTTAATTGTATTTATTGTTTAACTGTTCTACCTGAGCTATTGGTTTAAATTTTAGGTATATATAAATAGCTTTTATTCTTAGAAGTAGGAGATAGAAATAGAAAAAAGCATTCAATCTGGAATTTAAACTATCTTACTTAGGCCCCTATCAGCTTTAGGAAATTTGGAACCCCTTGGTCTTCAACGAAAAAGTTCTTGAATGTGCCTGTTTTATTTTTTAATTTATCTTTATTGTTGAAAGTATTACAAATGTCCCCCTTTTTTCTTGTATTGATCTCTCTATCCTGCACCCCTCCCCCAGGCCTTCACCCCACTACTGTCTGTGTCCGTGGGTTATATATATATGCATATAAGTTCTTAGGTTATTCTCTCTCTCCCACCTCCCACCTTCCCTCTGAGATTGGTCAGTCTGCTCCGTGCTTCTTTGTCTCTGGATCTATTTTGTTCATCAGTTTATTTTGTTCATTAGATTCCACATATGAGTAAGATCATGTGATACTTGTCTTTCTCTGACTGGCTTATTTTGCTTAGCATAGTACTCTCCAGGTCCCACCATGCTGTCTTACTGAGTAAGGGATCCTTTTTTTACAGCTGCATAATATTCCGTGATGTAAATGCCCGAGAAGACGCTTGATATGATTTCAATCTTCTTGAACTGGTAGAGACTTGTTTTGTGTCCTACCATGTGGTCTGTCTTTGAGAATTTCTCATGTGCACTTGAGGAAATTATATATTCTGCAGCTTTGGGGTGAAATGTTCTATAAATGTCAATTAAATCCATCTGATCTAGTGTGTTGATTTTTTGTCTGGAAGATCTATCCAATAAAATCAGTGGGGTGTTAAAGTCCTCTAATATGACTGTATTGATGTCGAGCTCTCCCTTAAAGTCCTCCAGAAGTTTGTTGTTTTTTTCAGCCTGCGTGAGTCTTTTATTTTGAGGCGGGACTCTTGTAGACAGCATATATCTGGATCATTTTTTCTTATCCATTCAGCTACCCTATGTTTTGTTTGGATCATTTAATCCATTTATATTTGAGGTTATTATTGATAGGTACTTATCTAATTGACATTTTAATTCTTTATGCCTACGTTTCTATTTCTATTTCTACTTCTAATTACAGCGTTCCCTTTAACATTTCCTGCAATGCTGGTTAGGTGGTGATAAGCTCCTTTAGCCTTTTTTTTTTTTTTTGTCTGGGAAGCTCTTTATTTCACCATCTATTTTGAATGATAGTCTTTCTGGATAGAATATTCTTGGTGTCAGATCCTTGCTTTTCATTACCTTGAATACTTCATGGCATTCCCTTCTGACCTGTAGAGTTTCTGATGAGAAGTCAGCTAATAAATAGCCTTATGGGAGCTCCTTTGTAGGTAACAGATTGCTTTTCTCTTGCTGCTTTTAAGATTCTCTTTTTGGCCTGGCTGGGCGTGGCTCAGCGGTTAAGCGCCAACCTAGGATCCAGGCAATCAGGGTTCGATTCCCGGTCAGGGCACCTGCCTGGGTTGCGGGCTGCAGACGATCAATGACTCTCTCATTATTGATGTTTCTGTCTCTCTCTCTC